ATAAAGGGAATAAAGAAAGCTGAAAATAAATAGAAAAGTTCTAAAAAGAGCATGCTAAACGAAATTGTTGGAGGCACAGCAGGAAAGTCCTTGAGCCCACAGATCTCCGGAGAAACCAGGGATGCTAAGCATGCAGGATTGTCTTTCCAACTGAAAAGATGTAAAACCTGTTCTTCCATCGAGAAAGCTGGAAATTGGAGGTGATCTGCTGATCTGTTATCTGTTGGGCCAGGCCACATCAAGCTCCTACAACTAGAAGCAGAGGTGACTAGTAATCTGAATGACCCTTCCAGCCAGGGGCTCCCCCACACTCCCACAACAGGACAAGAAGTGGCTAAGAACCCAAATGACCTCTACACTGTCTGTGTGACTGAGACCAGGCCAGACCTTTCCTTAGGTCCTTAGGCTAGCACAGGTATCCTATCTCTAGAACCCATCTTTTTGGGAGAATGACATGCACTGAAGTGTCTGTGTAATTACACTTCCTTGTGCACCGGGGATTGTATTACACCAGGAAACTTTTTTCAGAATTATCCTGTGTTTAAATTTGTTGGGAATAAACCGCCTGCCATCAGACTCCCTGAAGTCTTGATCCAGGTTGATGAAGTTGGTCTGAACTGAGTTTTCCTTCTCACCTCTTCACTGTTCACTTTCCTGCCTGCCATGACCACCTGCAGAGCCCTCTGACAAAAGCACATTAAATATTACTATCAGACTACAAAGCCAAGGTACTGATACTGATAAATCTGATTTATAAGTACTGATAAATACTGAAATCTCATAATGCAAAAATTTTTTTTAAAAACTTACAAAAGTTCTATCCTGCTAATTATATAACCATGATATGAAATAAGAACTAATTGAACTACAAGAAAAAAATAGTTCAACAACTATATTGGAAAGTTTTAATGTGTCCTTATTAGAAATACAGATTAATTAAACAAAATTTAAGTTGAGAGGTTGGATGAAATTTGGTGTTAATTTTCCTTGTGCACAATTTGTAATCTGCAGTATATCTTCTAAAATGTTTGTTCTGTGCATGTATTTGTATGCCCATTCCACTGACCATGTGTGGAGCTCAGAGGACAGCCTGCAGGGTCTTTCTTTTCACATGGTTCTCAGAGACCAAACTCAGGTGGTCAGGCTGGGCCGTAGCTGCCTGTTCCAGCTGAGTCATCTTCCCAGTCCAGTTCATTTTCACATGACAGTTTTTCTCTATCTTCTACCTTCTCCACCCACTTCCTACTTTAATGCTGCTTTTGAGTAGCTTCCAGACCATGTTGAGACACTGTTCCTGGGGAACATGAACAAATGCTTACTCACCCAGACAGGGAATTGTCATCAGACCAAAGTAAAGATAGCACCAAGGTTCATCTTGGTGAACCAATGAGATTTTTGCAGGGTTACTTACAGGTTATTCAAAGACAGCTGCATCAGTAACACTCACCCCAGTATGGGTGACAGCTCACCCAAACTGGAAATCTGGAGCACACTGCACAGCCATGTCCTTTCCCGGTATCTTAGTTGGTCTGATTGGTTGATTTGGTTTTTTCCCCCAGGTGGCTTGGCTGCTCTGAGACTCTTCTAGGAAACACGGCTTGTCTTCTGTCTCTCCGCAATCCTTACTACTTAGAGATGCTTGGGAAGGGAGGAGCCTAATAAATCAGATCAGTGTCGGGGACTTCCTGAAGCCTGTGAGTTGTTTTCTGCTATGTGCTTAAGGGGCTTCCCTGCAGAATGGAATGTTTCATCTCCGCTTTAACGCTTGTGTCTCAACAAACTTTCTCTCAAGGTGGAAGGTTTAATTTCGAGGACACTGCTACACAACAGACCCTTACCCCAGCCCCAAAGTAGGTGTTTCAGAGAAATGGGAAATATGGGGGACACTAAACTGAAAGCAAATTGGCCAGAATTTTGTGTGTATGTATTACTCTGCTTTCTTGCCACAGCTGAGCTGTTTGTTCGTGTATTCTTTGTGTATGTGTGTGCACTTGCATGTGAATACCAAAGGTTGACAATAAGTGCCTCCTCAATCTCTCTCCATCTTAGTATTTGAGTCAGGGTTTCCTTCCTGCTGAACCTGTAGCTCATTGATTTGGCTAGAATAACTGGTCAGCAGACCTAGGGATCCACTAATCTCAGCTTTCCAGCTAGGGGATTACAGGCTCGGGCTGCAGCAACTAACTTTTATGTAGGTTCTGGGGATTTTTTTTTTTTTAAGGTTTATTTACTATGTACACAACATTCTGCCTCCATGTATGCCTGCATGCCAGAAGAGGGCACCAGATCTCATTACAGATGGTTGTGAGCCACCATGTGGTTGCTGGGAATTGAACTCAGGACCTTGAACTCCTTGTCCTTCAGTCTCTGCCTCCCACAAGTTGGGATTACAATTGTCTGCTGGCCATTATATTGGGTAATCTTTAATTTCCAAATCTTGGAAATAGAATTAATGAATACAGTGGTATTTCTTGACTTCTTTCAATATTGAAAATTTGGAGATTGGGTGTGGTGGTTCAATCCTGTAGTCCCAGAATCTGGGAGACTGAAGCAGAAAGATCACCATGAGTTCAAGGCAAGCATGGGCTACAAACTGAGGACTTGTCTCAGGATGGAAAAAAAGAAAGGAAAGGAGAATGGGAATGAGGGATAAACTGTGGAGAGGATGTAGAATTCCAAGTATGAGCTCACAGCAATGGCGTTTCTACTATTTTTCCCTGGTACTGTGGATGTAGGAATCTCTGGTTTCAGGTTTCCTCTACTCTCAAATGCCAGAAACCTATCGAGAATCTTTGTAAATTCCCCAGGATATCTGGCTTGAGATGGGAGGCAAAGTATAAAGCTTTTTGTTATGTGTTTTTTTTTTTCCCCTCTGACTTTCTGTATATACCAATCAGAGGAATTTTTTTAAAAATGTATTCTGATGCTAAATTGCTTTTAAGTTATCATTGGTCTAAATTTCTTTAGTCCATAAAATTTTGCAACCTTAAAATTTAAAATCATTCACAAAGGGAATGGAGAGATAGCTCAAAGGTTAAGAGCACTGGCTGCTCTTCCAGAGGTCCTCAGTTCAATTCCCAGCAATCACATGGTAGCTCTCAACCATCTATAATGAGATCTGGTGCCCTCTTCTGGCCTGTAAGCATACATGCAGGCAGAACACCATATATAATGAATAAATAAATCTATTTTTAAAAAAATCATTCACAAAGGATGCAGGTTCAATAAAATTCCACTAGAGTTTTAATCTCATTATTAACCCACCAGAGATTGCCTTTCTGCATCTGCTTCCTGGCACCCATCACCTCCCTTACTTTCCTCAGAGGCCTCACTCCTGTCTCCTAGTCTCTCCTATCTCTAGTTTTCTATGTTGGGTTGTTTCCTTTGCCTCTCAGGAAGACAAACCCTCTCTTCTCTTTCATTCATTGTATAGGCAAGCTCTGGGAAAGTCATTCAAACAATCTTCAATTACAATCCTACATGTTGATGACCACCAAGCCATTGATTCCAAATCGGTTCTTCCTACATTTCTCCAGATTCATAAACTCTCTTAACCAGGACAAACGCCATGAGTGTGAGATAGACCGCTCATCGAGCATAGACTCTTCCTGGTTAAGCCTGACACCGAGTTAGCCCAGCATTGACATAAAGGCTAAAGGAGGGAACTCACTCCACAAAGTTGTCCTCTGGCCTCCACATAGCCCCTACTGAACAACAACAACAACAGCAACAACACACACACACACACACACACACACACACACACACACACACACACACACAATTTTTAAAGTTTTAAATTCAGTTCAACATGTCCAACGTGAAGTCATCATCTCCACATCCCGCATGCCTCCGAATCTTCCTTACCTTTGACTCTCTACTGTCATCCAGTTTTCCAAGTAGAAACCTGGTTTGTTTTTAATTCCTTCTCCTTTGTTCTTCCCAACCAGCAAGATATTGGTTATTGTATTTCATTTAACAAATATTTGTGCTGGGCGGTGGTGGCGCACGCCTTTAATCCCAGCACTCGGGAGGCAGAGGCAGGCAGATCTCTGTGAGTTCGAGGCCAGCCTGGGCTACCAAGTGAGTTCCAGGAAAGGCGCAAAGCTACACAGAGAAACCCTGTCTGGAAAAACAAAACAAACAAAAAAAAAATTGTAATCACAAACTTAATAAGTACTGTTACACTAAACTAAATTTGGCCTGAGAGTGATTCCATACAAGAGTCCTTACTTAATGAACTTCAACCTGAGCCTAGAAGCTAACCCAAAGCCAAGCTTAGATGTATACATTTGTAACAAGTAGCTGAGTCTCAGCCAATCACAGCAGCCAAATGCAGTGGCCCACTGTTCAAATCATGCTCAAATAAGGCAAAGGTTGACCTACACCCTTTTGACCTGTCTCTGTACCTCTCTTCTATTTTCAGTCCATAAATACCAGTTGATCACATTGCAACTCCAGAGTTCTTAAAAGCTGTTCTGGATCAGAGGCTGCCTGATTGTAGCACCATGAATAAAAGCCAGTTAAGATCTTTAACTACGTTATAACTTCTAACAGTACATATTGAGCATCCCACACCAGATCTGTAATCCCGGTACTCTCGAGGAAGACGCAGGATTGCTATGAGTTCTAGGCCAGCTTGGACTGTTTTGCTTGGGAGAATAACAGGCTTTTTTGGTTTTTCGAGACAGGGTTTCTTTGTGTAATACTCCTGGCTGCCCTGGAACTGGCTTTGGAGACCAGGCTGGGAGAATACTGGTCTTTTAAATGGTGATGTCTGCAGCCGTGGGAGGGGGCAGGAGACACAGCTTCACACTGATACCTGAAGCAGCCTGAGGAGTTCTGTATACAGAGGCCTGTACTAAGGTGAAGCCAGGCTGTTGACTTTTCAGTGGACACGAATCTCAGGATGTATCAGTATGAAGCAGAGTTGGTGTTTATTAGAAGGGACATTAATTTAGATTTAATCACCGGGATTAATGAAAAGAAAGGCGCTGAGGGAAAGGATAGTACACACCACGTGTGGACAGAGGCTCCTCAAGGGAATCACCCGGAAGTGTCCTTGCAGGAGTCATGTTTACGATTCTGGTGGCTTCTGAAGTCACACCTCTAAGGATTCCTAGGGTGGTTCTTGAGGAGCCTTGGGCAAGGTTCTGTGATAAGGAGAAACCAAGGTCACCAGAGTTATACAAGGGAGTTGAGATACAGTTTTACTGCAAATGAAATTTATAATCTTGTGAAATATCTAGAACAATGCAGGCCCACACCTGGGAAAGGAGTGAGGCCATACTTTGTGCTTTTCTTTGTCTCCTTGTACATTCCTTTTTTCACAATTCAGCTTCCCCGTCCCTTCTTTTCTTCCTTTTTTTTTTGGGGGGGGGGGGCACTTTAGTTTTCTCTGTGTGTAGTCCTGGCTGTCCTGGAAGCTGCTTTGAAGACCAGGCTAACCTCGAACTCAGAGATCTCCTGAGTACTGGGATTAAAGGCTGTGACACCATGCCCTTCACTTATTTTCTTTCTGAATAGTAAAAATAAACAACAAACAAACACTAAGGTTCCTGAGGAGTTACATTCCTGAGAAACAAGGAAGTTCCTGTTTTAGGAGAGGCCTTGGGTGTGCCTTAAAGTTGAGGGAGAAGAGAAAAAGGTCAGATAAAGGTCAGATAAAGGCCATGGCTGGCATGTAAATCTAACTCGGGGCACTCGGTCCTTCTCAGCCTGGGATGACTCTCAGCAGGCTGAGATTCTCAGAAGTGAATCCCAAATCACCAAAGGCTGTTGGTCAGTAAATTGCTACCTGCTTGAAAGTCTAATTATATAGTTTCCTCTTCTGAATGGGAAATAAAATTTGAAAATGAAAACTCCAACATTTCATTCTGAAAGACTTTGTAGTGGACGCATTTCTCGGTTGACTGGGACACTTAGAAGATTATCTTGATTACGTGCCTGTATTTCATCTTAAAGGGGAACACTGCCCCTTCATTTCATTCTCTAAACTTCAAGCACTGAGAGCAAGACTGTCGCTTACCATTGGCACTCCAGCCACTAGCATAGGACCCAATACTATGGGATCTTTGATACATATTTGAAGATTGAGTGAAAAAAATAATAAATAAACATTAGATGGCAAATCTCCCCTTGGCAGCAGGATCTGCACAGACAGGGTTCCCAGAGGTAAGATTGTGGTTTATGTAGAATGATCTGTTTTACAGTTTTGTTTTGGAGTCAGGGTTTTGTGGACCACATGCCAGACTTAGGTATTTGTCTTGGATGAGCAGAGAATTCCTATCTAGGGGTTTTTCAATCAGACATTCTCTTCACACCCTAAAAGCTTACATCTACTTAATCTCACTCTGTGCTTTAATTCCCCAAACTAGCGGACCCTTAAATGTTTACCTAAACTCAACCCCGCCTTCTTTCTGCAGCTAATAGACACCGTTGTGCACAGTGGGGGAGCGTTGCATCCCAAGACTCGTTACATCCTATAGACTTGGTCCAACCACAGGACGTGTTGAAGCACTAAAACGATGTATGTCTTACCGAACAAAGGCTTCGGTGAGTTGGAAGACAGAAACATCTCAAGCAAAAGTTCAGAGAGCACACGAGAGGGAGCGGGAGCCGGAGCGGGAGCGGGAACGAGCCGGGCGGTGGGAGAGCTGGGGTGGGTGCACGTGCTAGCCCAGGCCGGCTGGGTTAGCTCCTGGCAAGTTTCCTTGTCCTCTTTAGCTTTCCGACAGCTCTTCATCACAGCTCCTAACACGAAACAGCTAACGAACGGAGACATCCCCCATCAGCAGTTGAAAGCTGGTTTCGCTCTTGGCGGTTTATCCTTGGCTTTCCGACATAACTGACTTGGGGGCAGCACACTCTTTACCTCCTTGAGTGCAGTTTACATCATTTCCTGTTTGTTCTTTCTACAAACAAACCTGCACTGCCGAGAGTATGGAAGTGCTTTTTCATTTTGTGCGTGCAGTAAGAGTGGCGACATTTGTTGAACTTCTCTCCAGGGCCAGCGAGGCTCAGATATTCATATGTTAGTTACTGTGATTGGACTGTTTGCCTCCAGAAATTTAATTATCCCATTTGCTTTGAAAGCTGAAGTGACTTTTCAAGAATCTTACATCAGTTTATTAGCTCTATCCCATTATAGGAGAAAAAAAAAATAATGCTAGAACTTACTAACATTTTCCTGGTGATTCTTGAACTTTTCATCCTAGGCCCTGATGCAAGTTTCTTTGTGATTAAACGTATTATTAAAAGGTTATTACTGTGTATGTGAATGCATAGTGTGGGGGGGTGGATAGGAGGTCAGAGAAGGAATTCGCAGAATGGGTTTTCTCTCTACCTTTATGTAGGTTCTGCGTTCTAAATTCAGGCACCAGGCTTGTGTGACAGGTCCTTTTAGCCACTGAGCTATTTTGTTAGCCCTTTATTTGATTTCCTTATTTGCGTTGTGGTTCATTTTTATTGAGACATGGTCTCAGTCCATAGCTCTAGTCCAGAACTGGGGTTACAAAGCAGAGCCACGACCCCAGGTTCCTTACATCTTACCCCTCAACTTTCTGTACTGTCTTCTTGTTTTCTAGAAGAAAGTGTGCATCTTTCTCCTGCTGTGTAATGAACTGCTGGAGACAATTCCAATTCAAAACAAAGTTAAATTTTAAAAAAAATCAAACTTTCAATGCTTTTTTTCTATACAGAAGGATGAGGTTTTGCCGTGAAATAACCTGAATTTTATATGAGTTCTCTTTACTCACTGCCTAAGTAAATTTCATTTAATTAAAATTCTCATTTTGTTAAGTATAAGAGCAGGTTTAAATTACCCACAGGATTGAGGGCCCAGTAGGGTTCTTTTCTAATTGTTTAGGGATTTCCTCTAGAGAACATACTCAATAAAGTGATAAGGGCATTTAAGCATGTCCTTAAAATTCATGGTCCAAATTCTTATAACATCTTTCCATTGATTTAAGAAACTCTTATTGAACATGGAAATTCCAACCATTTTGCCAGAGCAATGACTCCAGTCAGTACAAGAGGAACAAATATCCAGTTCTATGGAGCTACAGTCCAAGGTGACCAACCAGAACATGGAAGTGCCGGCATGACCGTCATGTAGAAGGGTCGAGCACTGTGGGGACCTACAATAGTGTGGCTGCTTCCTTGACGCTGGGTGGGTGGGAGACAGTTAGGCTCCTCATCAAGAGTTCAGCTTGAAGTCTGAAGAGAAATGGTATCCAGAAAGAAGACATATTTTGTGTCAAAGGCTTTGAGATGAAAATATCTCCCATCTTTTCAAAGGATCTAAGAGGTCAATGTCATGATGGCCAGTGTGGTCAATATCAGATTTTACTGGGTTGTCTAAGGGAGTGGAGTTCCTTCCGTGCTGTGGGATACCTAATTTGTATGCTGTGAATATGTGTTGCTCGGATTGGTTGATAAGTAAAGCCGTTTGGGCTATGGCAAATCAGGTTATAGGTAGGCAAGAAATTGAAGAGAGAGACAGAAAGAAGAAGAAAGGCAGAGGGGAGAGAGATGCCAGCACCATCAGGAGAAGCAAGATGTGAAAATGCCGGTAAGCCATGGCTACATGGCAACTTAATTAGAAATGGGTCAAGTTATAAGAGTTGGCTAGCAAGAAGCTTGCCATAAGCCATGCAATTGCTAATTAATATTAAGCCTCTGAATGATTGTTTTATAAGCGGCTATGGGACCTTGGCGCTGGGCGAGACTGGAGAAACCTTCAGGCTACACATCCTTGGTGCTAACAAAGAACTGGAGACCAGGAAAGACAGAAGAGCACACCATAGAGAACAGAAAAATGATCAGCTTTATACATTCAGGACTGGTGAAGCCTAAGGCTGCAGTCTGTTCAACAGGTGCTGATTTGGGCATCTTACAGAACCCCAGGGACCTGCCCTTCCTTCTATTGGTCCTGGAATCCCACCCCTGTCCTTCCCCTTTGTTTCTCCTCACAGAGTCTTCTGGGAGCAAGAAGTAGTCATCTCAGAGAGCCCTCTTTGGGTTTCCTTGTTTACCGATGTCCTCCATAACTCTGCTTCAAGAACGAGTAGGTAGGGGAATTAGAGGAAAGGGCCAGAACAGAGGTCACCTCAAGACAGGCAACCTTGCCCCAAGGGTAATGAGAAGAAAGCCAATGATAAACCATGCAAAAAAAATGTTCTTTAAAAATTTCGTAAGGAGACAATATATTTTGGAATGTGCTCATGTCTTCCTCCAACAATACCGAGAACATTTTACAAGTATGGGACAAACTATCCAAGTTTCTGATACCTAGAAGTTTTCTGCGCAAGACCCTGGGAATTAGGACAGATAAGAGAATGCTTGGGTACATAGCCTTGGTTCTGTTTCAAAGTGATCTTTACCACATTTTAACACAAATGGCAACTGGAGATGCTAAAGTAACGACAGGAAAAGGAGAAAGACATGTGTCTGTACACCTGCATCTACATGTACTTCCCCAGTCAGGAACAGTGTCCACCTTCCACAAATAAGAGAAAAGACGGGTTATGTTCTCACAGTTAGACGACAGAGGGAAAGCAATAGTTTTGGTAGTACCACAGACTTTGACACGAAATATATTCTTTTCAGGTTTGGGACCAGAAGATGCCTTTGGTAGCCTTGTGCTTTGTATACTAAAGTGTTTCACGAACCCTACGGCTCTCTGCCAACAGGGTATGAGAGGCTACGTTTTTGTTCTATTTGTAATACTTTCCCATCTTCTCTGTGAGCATTTCTTTATTTCTTTTTTTTTTTAAAAAAAGATTTATTTATTATGTATACAGTGTTCTGCCTGTATGTGTGCCTTCACACCAGATCTCATTATAGATGGTTGTGAGCCACCATGTGGTTGCTGGGAATTGAACTCAGGTCCTCTGGAAGAACAGTCAGTGATCTTAACCTCTGAGCCATTTCTCCAGCCCCCTTTTCTTTATTTCTTTTCATCTTCTTCATACTGTCTCTACATTTTTTTTGAGATATAAAATGTCTCTATAATATATATAAATAAATGTCTCTATAGCCCTGCTGTCCTGGAACTCACTATGTAGACCAGGCTGGCCCCTTGAACTTAACAGAGATCTGCTTGCCACTGCCTCCCAAGAGCTGGAATTAAGGGCATGTGCCACCATGCCTGGTTCTGTCTCTATACTTTAAATTGGTACACGTTCTGGCATTATAGTTTCTCAGATGTATTTGCTTCTTGGTAGTTGTGGGAAATTCTTGGAGATTAAAGTTTTCTCTAGCAAACACTAGGGGAATGGTGAACATGTGTGTGGGTGCTGGTGTGTGCATGTATCTGTGCACGTGTGTGGAGGACAGAGTTTGATGTCAGATGTTTTGATGCCTGCCCATCTTCTAAAAATCATCATCATCATCATCATCATCATCATCATTATCATCATCGACGGAGATCCAAACTCCGGTCCTCAAGCTTGTTCAGCGAAAGCTTGATCTGCTGAGCCGTCTCCCCGATCCAAACCCAAGGTTTTCACCCGGACTTTGGACCATAAAGCTTCGCCACTATTTTTCAGGCTAACTGGCTACTAGGAATGAATGGATAGACGCATACTTGGAGAGTTCCTTGAGGAAGGCTGCTGACCCCTGATCTAAGTAGGCCCGAGTTGAAATGTCAACTTGTCTCTGACTCACTATTTGAAGAGCATGAATCATTGATTTGACTGAATCAGCTTTATGGTTTGAGGTGTGGCCCTCAGCAACACCAGACAGCTTCCATGCATGTTGTAAGTGTGGGTGTGCAACTGATAAATTCATCTCGGCAAAATAAAAACACCTATACTGGTGCCCACCTGCGTGCATAGGATTTGAAAGCATTCAGAATATGTAGGCTAAATATTAGACTACATTCGTGCTTGCTAAAGTGTCGCGCAGTGGGTGAGATGTCTATTATTATAAACATGGAGGAGGCTTGCTATGTATTAATTGTTGGGTTATGGAAGCTCTGGTTTTATTCCTATGAAACAGGAATGTTAAGAGTAGCTTCTTAATGAGTTCTTAGTGTTTGGTGGAAAAGTCACTTCTCCGTGTATGTGGGTAAGTGGTTATACTCGGCTGTTTGGTGGTAATAAAGGTTTTTGAGGGTTCAGTTATCTAAAGAAGGACTCACAGTGCCTTGGCGCCATGTTCTTTTCAGCAATCAGGAGCATAGATAACAAAAATCTATATTCTAGCATTGAATAACAATAGATTTGCTAGTGTACTTAGCTCTGTGAGTATCGCAGACAAAACCTAGGGCAGTGTTTTCAATTTTTTACGAATAATTTTTATGTTGCAGTGTCGCTAAGTTACTCGTGTTATCTTGATATAAAGGAAATGAACATTAAGGGCCAGCATTATATATCAGACACTCAGAAAAATCACATGCATCATCATTAAAGCTTACAGGAAGTCTGTAATAGGAAATGTCTTCAGCAAAATGAAGTTCAGGCACTGAGACAGCAGAGCCAGGAGGCACACTCAAGTTTGTTAGATTATACATTTTCAAAGAGATCGCTTGGCCAAAAGACAAACGGAACAGCTTCAAAATCAGGTAGGATTAATGGAATGAGGCAGCCGCTCTTAAGCTTTTACTTAGTTTAATGTAATTTATATGTTAGGGGGCTGAGCAAAACTTCTGCAGAATTGTTTGTATTCTATAATTCCACTTAGGTTTGATTCTTTGAGAATGATGATCAAGGCTATTGATTAAAACAGTAAGAAGAGAAGAAAAGGGGTGCATTATCCAGCTGTAAATTCAAAGTAGTGGTTTTTTTTTCTGAATCTATTGATTTTTGTTTCTGTTGTTCATTTGTATAATTTTAGACAGGGCCCCGCTGATATAGCCCTGACTTCCCTGGGACTCATGTAGACAATGTACTGGCTAGTTTTATGTCAACGTGACACAAGTTAGAGTTATCTGAAAGGAGGGAACCTCCATTGGGAAAAGGCCTCCAAAAGATCCAGCTGTAAGACATTTTGTTAATTAGCGATTGGTGGAGGCGGGACCAGCCTATGTGGGTGGTGCTGTTCCTGGACTGGTGGTCCTGGGTTCTACAAGGTAGCAGGCTAAGCAAGCCATGTGAGTAAGCCAGCAAGCAGCACCCCTCCATGGCCCCTGCATCAGCTCCTGTCTCCAGATTCCAGCCCTCCTTGAGTTCCTGTCCTAACTTCATAGTGGACTATGATATGGAAGCATAAGCCAAATAAACCCTTTTCTCCCCAACATGGTCATGGTGTTTCACCCCAGCAATAGAAACCCATCTAAGACAAGCAGGCTGGCTTTGGATTTGTAATGATCCTGCTTCCAATTTTATTGGGTTTTGAAAATAATTTTGCAGATAGAATCAATGTTTTATACTCTGTGAAATATAAATATTACCATTATTCTATATACTTAATGGCATATTGTAAATGGAATTGAAGATTCTTATAAAATCTTAGGAAAGCTGATATAAATACAAAGTTTATTTCTGACCTCATCTGTAGTTCTGTTTTGTTCTTATCTCAATTTCCAAGTCCATCATTTATATTCTTATCACTTCTTGTACTGCAATGTCTCTACCAGAAGGTGAGTTATTCTAAGACAAGTATCATCCCTCTTTCACTGTGGTATCCATGGTAACCTGGACAGTTCCTGCAATATAATAATGCTCAGTAAATGTTTATTGAATATATCAGCCAGCAGCAATAAAAGAATTCATCTTATCTCGTTTTCTGTTTCTAAAATGAGAAGATATGAACATTTTCATAGAGTTAGTATCAGAAGTTTATGACATGCTTACTATTTACTGGAGACATATGCCCTGAACATAAAAAGGTTGTCATGATGATTATTTTATTTAGTATGAGATTACATTTTTGTTAAAATCTTGAAAGTATCTAACCACTACATTTCAGGAAAGAAACATAGAATATTTAGCATAATGCTTGAAAATATAGATTGAGCAATAAGACAAGAGAAAGATAAAAAGTGATATATAAGTAGAAAAGAAAAAAAATCAAAGTATCTCTACTTATAGACAGCATGATGCTTCACTTAAAAGACTCTAAAGATTCCACCAGAAAACTCTTAGGCCACCTATACACTTTCAGCAAAATATTAGGTTACAAAATCTATACACAAGCATCAGTGGCCTTTTAAATATAGTAATAATGAACTTGCTTATAAAAAATTACAATCACAATATCTTTAAAAACACCTTGGATGCCAGGCAGTGGTGGCACATGCCTTTAATCACAGCACTCAGGAGGCAGAGCCAGGTGGATCTCTGTGAGTTAGAGGGCCAGCCTGGTCTACAGAGTGAGTTCCAGGAAAGGCACAATGCTACACAGAGAAACCCTGTCTCAAAAAACCTAAATAAATAAATAAATAAATAAAATAGATAAATAAATAAATAGAATAAAAACACCTTGGAAGCCAAGCAGTGATGATGCATGCCTTTAATCCCAGCACTTGAGAGGCAGAGGCAGGCAAATCTCTGTGAGTTCAAGGCCAATCTGGTCTACAGAGTGAGTTCCAGGATATCCAGGACTGCTTCACAGAGAAATCCTGTCTCGAAAAGCCAAAA